TTGTCGCGGGATAAGGCGCCCGCGAACTGGGAAAGGAGGCCATTAGGAGGAGTGCACAATTAAACTGATAGGTGCAGGAAGTGGCGCCGTTACCCTCTTCCCCCCCCCCGCCCTGCCGACCCCAGCGCCGCGGCGCGGCGCGGCGTGGCGGCGCGCCGGGCCGGGGTCGACGGCGACGGTGACATTTCGTTGAACATCGGTAGCCGCCGGCCTGCACTCCCCCCGGCGAGCGTTCCCGACGACTGGTCGCAACTTTATGGAGGGAAATTTGGTAATAACAATGCAAGGTTATAACCATGAGGTGCAAAGTATGAAGGATGTAAGTATATATTTACCATAATTTATACAATTTTACAATTATATTCAAGTCAAACCACACCCAAACGCGCTACTTTCCTATCTATGACTCTCGGTGCTCTTACGAGCATGGACAACTTCCCCTAACACTGATTTTCGGTGGAACACTATACGGTGTGGCTGCTCTATCATTGAATGACCTTCCCGAAATCCATATTGAAACTCTGGCATTATATTATTTGTTATTGGTTTGAGCCATTGTAGAAGTATTTTTTAAAAGACCTTTGATAAAACAGGTAGAAAACATGGATTTGTATGATGCAGTTTCTGTAATCCGCGGTTTTACAGGTTTTTCTAAGGCTAGAACTGTGCATACTTCCACAGATTCGGATAGTGATTCTCGCTTATTTTAGCATTGAAGATGCATGTTATGAATGATAATCTTCCTTGGTAATTATTGTAATATTTTACCGGTTATAAGTTCGTGTCCTCGGCTTTTAGTAGGAATTGTATGCTTTTTAAAGGTTTCTTCTATTTCACTCAAATTGAACGTTTGTATAGGTACCGACTGTTAGCGTGGAGCCTCTATTAGGATCTCTTACGAGATTACCTTATTTTCCGAAACACATCGTTTATCTATTGGTTTGAATACTGCAGAAAAGAGTTAAGGAAGACGTTCTGCCTTTTCTTCAGGACTTCATGTCCATGTGCTGCCCTCTTTTCTCATAGGCAAGTTGTGTTGTTGTGGTCTTTTTTTGTTGCTTTCCACGGCGAGTACCTAGTTGAAGCTGTTGGTGACAAGGATTGTACGTACTTGGAAAATCTGATAGTTTGGTACTCTTTTAGTTCTCGTTTTAGTTGTTGAGCTGATGCGTTAAGTTTCTGTTTGTGTTCCAAGTTGACGAGTGTACATACAATTTCTACGGACACGACGTTTTTCTACAATATTTTGCCCAATTTCTTTGGGAAATGGTGAGTTTTTGATTACGTCAAATTTTGGAGTTTCTCTACAGGCAGCATTCTGTAAAATCTCTGTTAGATGCTGTTCGGCAGCGTTTATATCTTTGCTTGATTTTAGGGGCATGCTTGCGCTTAACAAGTTGTTAATGCACATTCGAAATTTATCTTAATTGGTGAACTTGCTACAAGGGTTAGGTGGCGATCTGCATTCAATAACGTACTAACAGATAGCTATCTCTCCTGGATGACTCCTGTGTGATCGAATGGCATATGTTCGATGGGGAAATGTTTCAATTTATTTACAAAATACGAACTAAGTGGTTCACAAAAATAAGAAAAATTTTAAGTGACATTTTAAACACATCTCATTAGTACTTTATACAAGATAAAAACGAAATGTAGAGAGTAATCATTCTATTAACTTGCTTTCTAAAACATTCAGCCTCACAAATACAATAATATACAAATGTAGTTATAAATAAAACCACCAGAACCGTCTGAACAATCAAACAGCGTACTATTATTCACACTTCCTTGAGTCTCTCTGAGTTTCAATTGGATATTTTAATTTTGTGAGTGTGAGGGGGGGAGTACTTTTTATGAGAATTGACAACATTTTGAATATTTTCCCAAAAATAGCACCACATTTTTGTAAATCTTTGTCCTTAGATAGTTTAAATGACACTTAATAGAATGATGCAGGTCTCATTTCCTCAAATCTCTTATATTACGAAAATTACTAAGTTCTAAATTTTGTTCAGCGTCTTCCTATAGCTACAACATTAGAGATATGTATTTTTTTCGTAATGGAATTAATTCTTTAAAGGCAGATCTTGAAATAAGGTCAAAATCTATTAGTCCTCTATCTTTAAGGCAAAGAATTCATTATAGGAAAAAATTGCATATTTAATATTTTAGTTGTAGGTAGTCGCCAAAAAACATTTGAATTATTGCAATTTTCAAAAAGACAAGATTTTCAATGAAGATGAAACCTTCACCTTTCTCTTAAACGTCTATAGAAACACAAAAACCTTGTTTTCAATACATTAAGGTCAAATGCAACCAACATTTGAGTATGTATTGCTTCCGAGATCTTCAACTACTTATTTAATTTCTGTTATTATTGTAGTTTATATCGGGAAATGGCGGAGTTTCTTCCCCTCTGCATCGCGTGATTCGACGGCTGAACTGCGTATTCGCCTGAGGGTATGTCCCTCTAGAGAAATACTGCCCTAGTCAGTACTTTGGAGTATTTGGCTGTCCTGCCGTTGTATGAATGTTGAATCTTGCGCTTGTCGCGAGGTGATGTTCTGAATGCGTGCTGTACATATGTATTTTTCTATCTACAATGAAGTAGTTTGCACCCACATGGGTTACTTATTCAGTTCCAGCCCTTTTAACATATTTTATATTTCGTATAGAAGACGAATTGTGAAGTGACCAATACCTTGTAATAATTCTCCCCCCTTCCTAGTGGGAATGAGGGATTATAATTTAAGTTTGCCCTGCCTTTCTATTACATCGTGAGATGATGAGAGACGGTGGTGGTATTGCAGGCATGCATTAGGAAGAGAAATATTCTTCATTTGATTCAAATAAGCTTATAATATTAAATTAATGTTCGAGGTTGCACAGCCAATGCGCAGCTCGCCCAGCAGCAAAACAAACAAACAAACAAACTACTTCTATGAACATTGCACGTTACGGGGTCAATGTCTACTCCACCAGTTAGTTTTCTTGGCAAAACGGGCAGGTACGCGGGCAATCCCTAATGCGCTGACCCGACGGCGTGGGCGGCAAAGGCAGCTGCCCGCCTCAGCTGGCGGAGGCGGCTGGCAGGTCACCCACGAGTCTGGTACATCAGACACTGGCGAACGCGTCCACGCAATCACCTTCCGCCACGGGCCCTTAGCCGAAGGGAATGCGGGGGGCGGCACTTAAGTATCCGCATAATACCACTCCGTGAGGTGACTGTAATATTAGTAATGATAAAGTGCAAGTCTGCAACGGATGCTCGCTGTCCGTGGAGAGCCTAAGAGGCAGTTTAAAACTTACTCAGCCGCACATTTTGCTCTGAATGAATTTACGCAAATCGCCACTAAATTCACCACCGAACCACAGTCTCCCACCCATTCACCTACGAGGTAGCACACTTTTCGAATGGTGTGGGAATGGGGCTTGACCTCACCCAATCCTGAACATAAGCGCATGCCCGTTGAAATTAATTTCTGAAAATGCCTAAAATTCTGAAAATCTAATTTGGGTATACTTCCCTTCAGGGAAACACAATGCTGTGGCATCCGGAATCACTGGTGAATGGGCGACCTTTCCGAGGTGGTGTTGACAAAGGAAACCCTTTGGGCGGAAGGGGGCGCGGGGGCGGTGGCGTCGAAGGGCGACGTATTCCACGTATTTCCTCATATAATACAACGGGGATCGATGTACTGTTATGTCTATAGATAACAACAACGCTCTACATGCATTTTAAGGCCCCGTAGACGCATTGTGTTCGAAAATTTGAAAACCCTCGAAAGAAGCAATTTTAAACAGTACCATTCATTTTCATTTTTACATATTTTCAATTTTTCGTAGATATTTATGAAAAAATAAGTATGTACGTATTTTGATTTTTTATTTCAATAAATGCCCTAATCATCAACATATAAAATCATTCACAATAAAAACTACCAAAAGTTACACTTAACTCTTGGTCTTAGAAATACTGGATATTTTCTGGTTTTTGTAGTACAGTTGGAAACTTTTTGGGCTATTATTTACAGTTCAAAAATATTGAGGCTGGATTATAAATTGTACCATTTTTGATTCATAGTTTTGTCGTATTTTAGTTTAAATCAAAGGGCGAAACGTCTCAATTTGACAACGTATTTCAAAGTGACGTAAGCTTTAAAGATATTACTCCAGAACTAATTGTCGAGTTTGCGAAAAGTAAGCAGAATACTGAAACAGAACTCAAGATAAATTCACTAAATAGAAGATAAGACGCCAAATAGTTATTTCTAAGACATTTCTCAGAAGGAAAATATAATAAAATGAATAAATAAATCATAGGTATTTATGAAATAACTTAAAAAATGGAACAATGTTTTAGGTTCTTTGTATCTCATATTCGATTGAATTTGAATGCAGTTTTATGTAATAGTAGTGGAATGAAATTATATTTTTTTAAGTGAAAACGTTTAAACTAGTTTTCCATCTTTTAAAGATAACTACAGTATATCTAGCAAGTCAAGATGTTTTCACTGCAATAGCTTTTGTTGCATTTATGTGATGCCAATTTATCAAAAGAATTATCAAATCTAAACTGCGAATCCCAGCTATTAATTTCTATCTGAAATATTTTGCATGCAAACTTACATGAATATGATTTTGAAAGCATGCAAAAAAATATTAATTTTCCCTTTCAGGTCCCCACAATAAATACACTGTCAAATTTTGGTTTGATAAGTAACAAATTGTTTTGAAAGAGAGATTAGGTATTGTAAGATATTGAAAATACAGCTTTTATATTCATTTATTGTTGTAAATATTCATTTCACGAAATAACTAGATTCATGGTTGACAGCAGGAAGCGCTAAGAAAACTTTGAACTTAAGAAAATCAAAACAGCGTAAATCATACATATTTTTGTTTTGCAAATTAATATTTTTACATTGACACCAGGAAAGAGGCAAGAAAATCAACAGAACCAAGATATTTTCTCATTTTTTATTTCTCAGAATTTATTTTCTGTTTCCTTCGCTTGATGCTGCATTTCCTGAGTGTAAAGAAAACCATACAATTGAGTGAACCTCCGTGACAACACATACATGATACATACAGAACAAACAACCGTGCCCAAGGCGGGACTCGAACCCTTCTGACTGAGCGCTGAGTCGATACACGCTCTTAGCCAGTCGGCCCTTTTCTTATATACATTTAGAAAATCAATAACATTGAATGTATTCTTACCACTGTTACATTGTTTTACTTATGTATTTGAAATTATAATCAACCTTATGATTCAGGTTATTCACTAAAAAGAAACATTCCATGTGAAAGTAATTTGATCAATTCAACTTTTTGCGGTATCGGTATTCATCTAAGAGATCCTTGGTAAAGAACTTGGACAATTCTCAACTATTTTTGCCGTTACTTACGCAATGTAGATGAAAGTAAATGGTCAATAATTGTGGAACTTCACAATGATATAAATATTAAGAATCAATTAATTTAATATATTAATTAATTAATATGTTTTAGTATGTTATATTCATATAAATATTAAATATCAAAAAATATAAATATATAATTGCACACTCCGCAAAGTTATTAGAATGCATTTTTGTAAAGTTCATACATTTCATTTTTTTTACTTGTCACATTTTCTCTTCTATCACATATAATTATTAGATTCAATTTAAAATAAGGTTTACAAATAAAATTTTTCACGCATGTAAGTTATTGTTGTCCCTCTGAAAGATTCACATCCAAGATTCCCTACAACATTATTTCTCTAGTATACACGATTCAACGAACTCTTCAATAATATCACAGATTCGTTGTCTAAATTCAGCATTGCTGTGATAATAATTCACACACTCTGTACTACGGTCTTCAAGCATAAACTGAACAAATCGCTTTGGAGTTCTGAAGTGTTCATCGACGATTTCTGGCGGTAGAAGCAGCATCGGCAGAGCAACGGGGGCGAGAATGACACCCAAAATGTTGTAATATTCGCAACTTTCTTCAAATTCACTCTTCGGGAACAGTTTTTCTGGGTCCAGGTTTCGCCTGCAAAGTTCTTCCGCAAATTTATCGTAGTAGTGAGTTATCAAATACTGTCTATGATTTTCCCGGAATGTCTTGTCAGTCAACAAAAACAAAAACGTAATGACGTCACAAGCCGGTGGCGCATATCTCACGAGTTGAAAATCAACAAAACGCACGTCGAAGGGTTTATTGTTCTCAGAATAGCGGAGCAGTATGTTGCTAGCCCATATATCTGCATGGCAAACAACATTACGAAATTTCGAAGATGAATTTACGATTGTGTTCATCACCTGGCACACTTCTGGGATTTTGTCCTTAATCGATTGCAGTTTCTTCGCATCAGTGTTGTACTTCGGAATATGATCCATAAGCTTTAGAATACATCTCACAGCTGCAGGAAACCACCCAAGTTTCCCCTCCATTCTCAGAGTACTACCCGATCTCTCCTCCAACATGTCCGGATACATTTCTTTCAGAGTCCTAGTTTCACCTGAAGCACGATTTTTCTCTTCCAGCACCAGAGTGGCGGCGTGAAAACGCGCCATCTCACCGAGCACCAGTTCACTCGTCTCCACGTCCATTACCTCCCGAGCACTAAAGGGTCTGTAGTTCTGCAGTGACAGATCTTCCAGGACGATCAGATCTTCTCGCACCAAGTACGACGCCGGCACCCAGCGGTCGTGGCCTCCGTCGCCTTGAGCGTCCCGCATCTCCTTCAGCAGCCGGTCATAGAACGCGGTCTCCTTCACGTAGAATCGCGTGGACGCGACGTACTCCCTGTGGATCTGCACCTGCGGGAGGCTCTTGGCGAAGAAGCGTAACTCGCGAGGCGGTGATGATCCTTCTTGAACGACGAGCTTCACGCGCAGGTGGTCACTCATGTAGCCCGCCCGCGGGCCCGCCAGCGGCCGCACATCCATGCTCACCACTCGCGCCGCCGTGTGTGGGCCGAGGTAAGCGCTGACCAGTGCCCGGCAGTCGCCAGCACTCAGCAGCTCCGTCTCACTCATGGCGACGCTGATACAATACTGAGCGGTAAATACTCTTCTCGTCTCGTTGCCTTGACGATTTTTCTCCTCCCGCCGTGCTTTCCGCCTTGGAGCTGCGCGACCTCGTGACCGCTGTTTCGCCGGCGGCGGTGCTTGCTCCGGCCGCGTGGTGGCGTTGGCAGTGGGCGAAGCCTCAGCTGCGGTAGCGACGCGAACCGAGTCGGCGGTGGTGACTAGCGTGAAAGTGGCAGTGGTGGTGGCGCGGCAGTGGCGGCGGCAGATACGGCCCGATGTTGAGTCAACGGAGAGTGAGAGGCGCAGGCAAGATGGAGGAGATAACGCAGACGACGGGAGCCGGCAGCGGCAGCGGATGTCTTGTCTGAAGGTCAAATTCCGCGAAGAGATCGCTTCTTACGTCACGGCAATTTGCCGCTGCCGGCTGGCGATGTAGAGCACGTCTAGCGGCGGATGTGCTGCGCACCAGTGTCTCATTCGGAGAGGCCAGGAGCAGTCGCACATTCCTCAATTCAGGAAAGTACTTTCTTAACCTTGCATTGTAGTTCAGAATAATAGAATAACAATTAATACATTGGATAATGGTCCGCGAGCACAAAGAAAATAGTGTGAAACATATTTCCTTTTCCCACATCGCTAGTGCACAATAAAAGACGCATCTAAAAAGTCGTCAAAAATGTTGAGTTAAGAGACAAATATGTTCAGATGTTCTATTTTACTTGTTCTAAATCATAAAGACCTTTTACATCGGCATATGGATTTAACCGTTACGCACGGGACATCCCTAATTTTGGAGCATAATGGTTCAAAATAAATGAAAAATGGTTTACCCCTTTTGAAGGAAAAAATATTAAAAAAGTACTTATTAAATGGAAAAAATGATGTACAGAGAATATTCTTTGTGGGTCTTTTTTAAACCGTCATGTTAAAAAAAATGTATATTGGGCATTTTGTAACAATGAAAGAATTATTATTAGACAAATTCAATAATGCTTCTAGAAACTTTAATAGTTTAATTATACCTTTATTTTATAATGCTATTATATTATATTGAAATAAATGATACTTACCTGGATTATATTGAACAACAATGTTTTTTTGGATCGTTCTTTGAACTGAGCATCTACGTACATATATACTACATAAAAATATAAACTACGCATTCGAAATAAATTCATTTGTTAAATTTATTTACTTCAATTTATAAATTAATTTGTGTTTAAATTTACATTTGTAGAATTATTTACCTTCTACTTAGTTCTTCGAATAAGTGTATGATTGTTAAAAGTATTTTACTACAGAAATCATGTTTTGATAGAAATATCTTTGTGAAATTTCTGGATGCTCAGTTTGAGCGCCAAAACAATATCTGTATAGATCTCATCGCTTGCCCAAAATAATACACCAGGTTTTTAGGCAAAATAATTTGGCGATGAGAAGCAGGCGCCATACTTCGCCATACTACCAGAACGTATATACTTTATTTTAAAAACGTATTTTTTGAATATTTTCCAATGATTTTACTCTTACATTTTAACATATCTTTTACAGAAAAGGATACTGATGTTTAAATAAGAACAAAATTAAATGTGTTCGTGAGAATATTTATTTTGCACCAAAAATTTGGAAGACTTATCAAGTTAAGCAATTAATATACAACATTATAATATTTCTTTATTTGGCCTGAAATAATTATGTAAAAAGCAATTAAAATCATTTACAATATTTGTAATAAATTAATTGATGAGCTCGTTTATAATTCAATATTAGATGATAAATGTAAAAAAATCAAGTTGTTTCAACTCACACACTTCTGAAAGATTACACACTCAATTAACTGCATAATTATCAACATTTTTAGTATTTTTATTTCAAAATACGTGAATAATAGTTCTTCCTTTCTCAGTTTTTCAGAATATCTTCATCCACGAGATCATAGACTGCATCCTGCAAGAGATTTCTATAATATTCGTCTGTCTCAAACCACTCACAAACTTCTAATTCTCGATTACACAAGAAGAACTGGCTGAACGTTTCGCCAGAAGAACAAATAGTGTTTCTCTGCTCTTTAGTAATGGTAATAACTTGCAAATATAGTGCTGCAATCACACGTCCGCCGGGAGTCATGAATTCACAAGAACTTCTCAACTCATCAAAAGGTAACACGTCATTAACAGATATGCCATTCTTATTAAGTTCTTTCGTTAATTCACTATAGTATACATCGAGTAAATTGTCTCTATGACGTTTCCGAAAGTTTCTGTTTATAGTCGTGTATAAAAACATAGTTATATCTGATGAAGGAGGGGCATAGCGTTGAAGTTGAAAGTCTACGAATCGTGCAGTTATAGGAATTCCATTTTGATAGCGAAACATTATATTATTTGACCACAGATCCCCGTGGCTGACAACATTTCTGTACTGAGAAGATCTTCCAAGAATGTTAATGTTAGTCTGACAAATGTTAGGAAGCTTTTCGCGAATTAAACGCTGAACTTCGACATTGCCCTTGTACTTTGTTAGTTGAGGTACAAGGGCACACAAAGCACGAATACCTGCTGCAAACCAACCTTTATCAGGATCATCGTTCATGGCTTTGCCAAGAACGCTTTGGAACAAATCTGGATACATATCCCCTATAACACATGGGTGTCCTACCACTTCACTTTCCCTCTGTTCGAATGTGATGGATGCAGCGTGGAAACTGGCTAACGTCTTAAGCACAACAACACAGTGGTTCCAGTCCATTAATTCACGATTGTTAAAAACTTTAAAACCAGCTGATGATAGATCTTCCATGACAATAATGCCATCTCTTGCTAAGTAACAATGCGGCGCCCATATACCTTTCACATCTTCTTCCTTGATATTTTTGCACGCGTCGTTGTATTTATATAAATTAGGAACAATATCCATATAAAATCCACCTTCTTTTTTATAGGACTGCACTTCGAGTACGAATTCACGATGGGTGCTGTCAGTTTTTGGGACATCTTTGACGAAGAATTTGTGCGTCTGCACACAAGAATCACTGCATTCGACTTCCATCTTGATATGCCAGTAATCGCTCATGAATCCTCCATCTTCGTTTCGTAGAGATGTTTCCTTAATGTCAAGTATTTTAAAGTCAGGAGAAGAAACATTTTGCGCAACTATGTGTCTTGCTTCGTCCGCTGACAACATTACGACAGACCACTGTTTCCAAGACTTGCTTGTCTACTGTGCTACTGGGGGCGATCCGCGCTTCAGCTCGTGTTGTCTCACGGATTTATCTTGCACTGATAAAGATACTCAGTTTCCCAATTTGGAGAATATTTTGTACATAATGCTATCAGAGGAGATTGTGTAGTTTATGATTGGACGTCGTGTCTGCCATATTTAAACGTAATGTTCCAAAGGTTCTTTCAGCGGAACCCGATTTTCATCGCCAAACAAAGGAATTAGTTTTTGTGTGATGATCAATTCTTCGTTATCTTTACAAATATTTAGTTCTTAAATAAACATTCAAAGGATTTCTAAGAAGCCGCAATTACCTAAAATATTTAAATTGTGAGATTTGTAACGACTTAAACACCATGGTTTAGCCGCACGTGATCATAAAATACAACTATTGTTAATTTGTTTTAGTTTTAAGTTGTTTTTCAAAAGAAGATCTTCATTCAACGATTAAAAATCGTGTTTTTATATTCAAATTGTATTTTTATTAGTCTTTATTTATAGTTCATTTATTTTCATTCAGATATAAGAAAAAGGAATGGAAAAATAAAACTAATACACAAATTCAGCAATTTGAAGAAGCCCATGAAATATTTTCCAGTGGAGGAATATGCACTTATAAATTTAGCAATGTAGTTATTTCATTTGTACGATTAGGGAATTGTAAATTTTCGAAAACTATTAAAGGTTTTTATTAATTTCCGCCTTTTTATTGAACATACAATTAACATATATTGTACATATATTATTAAATAAATATATTTGTGAAAAATTAAGAATAAAGAATGGCTTTGTAATGGCTGTATATACGTTTGAATAATACACATTCGATGTACCATCACGAGATACCATCATACATTCCATCTCATTAACAACATTATTCTTAGTAACTGTCAGTGACAATTATTTCTGAGCTGTGCTTTAGTTAAGGAAAGGGGTTAAAATGTTATACGGATATATTTCTTAAGTAGTTTTACATTTAAGTTCCCTGAATTATATTTTTCTTTTTTATTCACAATAACAGAATACAAAATAATTACCAGAAATTTTCGTTCCATTAGTTAAAAATGCTTAAAACGTTGGGTGCTTCTACCTTTATTTCAGAAGCTATTAAACCAAGTTTACATAAACAATATATTATTAATTATCGAATAATGATTTACGTATGTTATTATATCTCATTTTTAAGATCTCTTTTCAAATTTTGATTTTGAATACACGTAAAAGCAACCAATACTGACTGAACATATCTGATGATAAACATACATGTTAATTGAGAAGCAATATGTAGTATGAGTACACATGATTAGTTGTTGATGTACTCATATGTAACAATGTACATGTGACGTAGTACATAGGATTACGCTGTGTGTAGTAATTTAAAAGAATGCACTAAATGTCGGCAAACTGCTTGGAATAAGTATTAGAAAGACCGACAGATTTTTAACGAAACGAACAGGATACTTAAACTCCTCTTTATCGCTAAAATTGTATGATTTAGTTTAATAATGCTTACGTTTTATAATGTATTGTCAGGGTGAAAAATTACAAAATGAAATAATTTTATCTTTCGAAGTATTATGTTTTGAAATACAACCTGTGTTTCCACCATTGATATTTACATCGATTTCATAATATATTTTTATTGAAAGGGAATTTAGACATTTATTCCAGATATTATTATTTATTATTGTTATTATTATTATTAATATTATTATTATTAATATTATTATTAATATTATTATTATTAATATTATTATTATTAATATTATTATTATTATTATTATTAATATTATGTTTATGTTTATGTTTATTAATGATGATAGAGTGTACTTACAAGGGATGAGTTCCTTAATTCAAGCACACCAGGAACGTAAGACAAGAAGGTTGGTAAATTGGCCAAAGAAATTGTTTCAATTTAATTATTTATAGAAAATCTAATATTATTTAAAGAACAGGTTCATGAATATACAGAGAGAATTATTAATTATTAATAATGTTGTTTAGAATATTTCTTAATAATACAGCGTCAGTAAACATTCAATTTGTGTCTGAAATGCAGTCACTTCTTAAAAGGTTTTACCATTATCAAAAATTGACTCTAAATACAAAACGAATATTAAAATAATGTAACCCTAAATTTCATGTTATTTATTACTTTCCGTGTAAAATGTCTGTTTCTATAAGTTCGTCTATTGACTCTTGTACTCTACACCTATAAATTTCATCTTTCCTGAAGCACTCAAGTACCTCGGCTGATCTATTTATGCTAAAGAATCTTGCATATTTTTCGGCAGAGGCAAACAAGGATTGTTTTGTTTCGGTATCCATGAGTATCATTTCATAGTACATGGCAGCTGTAGCTCGACCTGCACCAAGGTAGAACTCAAAAGATCGTTGTAATTCTTCAAAGCTGAGAAGTTCATTTGCGGAGAGACCGTTATTTTGCAGCTCCCAAGAGAATTCTTCGTAGTATACCTTGAGAAGGTTGTTGACATGGCGTTTACGAAACTCGCGGTTAGTGGTGGTAAACAAAAACACTACGATATCTGTTGCAGGTTGCGCATATCGAAGTATCTGATAATCAATTAAACGGACTGATTCTGGTCGTTTGTCGTGTCCGTAACGGAATAAAATGTTACTCGCCCATAGATCTCCGTGACAAACCACGTTTCTGAACTTTTCAGACCTCGAAAGCAGGCTAAGTTGTTTCAAAGCAGAGGGAAGATTATCTTGGATGGTTTTCTGCAGTCCGTTATCATGTTGGTACTTGGGGAGGTGCGGCACGAGGTCTATCACTGCGCGGACTCCACATGCAAACCACCCGACATTTTCTTGGCCGGGCATTGTCCTGTCGATGACGGACGTGAAGCATTCCGGATGGAGGTCGCCAATGCGGGTCTCTTGTCCTCTTTGCTCGCTTTCCTTCTCCTCGAATATTACGGACGCGGCATGGAAACTGGCGAGTTTCTTCAGAGTTGCTGCGCAGTGCTGCCAGTCTAGAAGTTCTCGATAATTGCAAACTTTGTATCCAAGGACCGAGAGGTCTTCCATAACTATCATATCCCCTCGTGTAAGAAAACAGTGTGGGCCCCATCTACCTTTAACCCTGCTGTCATCATGCGATGCTTCGTTGTTTTGATGTTTCAAAAGGATTGGTAAAAGATTCTGGTAATAACCTATTTCCTTATCATAGCACTGCACTTCCTTTACGTATTCCCTGTGCAGAATTGAACCAGGGAGAGTCTTGGAGAAGAACTGATAGGTTTTGTTGGTGCCATCTGATAGTCTTATCTCTATTTTAAAAATCACGTAATCACTCATGAATCCACCACTTTCGTTACCAAGAGTAGTTTCAGTGACATCAAGAACTTCGACATTAGTTGACCCAACGCACTGCGCCACAATAGTGTGAACTTCTTTCGAAGACAGCAGAGAACACGATGTGTTCATTTTATTGCTATTTCTGGAGCCTAAAAGACCTACTTCTTCAAGCTTCTTCAAAACGATACTGGCACAGTTCTTGCAAGTCCTGACCTTTATGCAAATTTTTATGTATGTATTTAATGTCTTCAAAACAGTAAAATTCTTTGCAACATTGTGATGACAAAGACAGGTTAATCCTTCGAGACACAAGTTATTACGTCGTAATTTACTCTGCGTAATGAATGTTATCAGCATCCGTGATGAAATCAAGTAGCCAATTGCACTTATTCTGTTTATCATGTTTGGATGACATCATGCGGAAAAATACTGTACTATGTTGACGAATCTGCTAATACTTATATTATTTCATAATATTGTTTAAATTGATTTATTGATTGTTAGTGATTCTGGGCGCGTCAACTACTATTGTCATTAGTCCCGTAAATGTAGAGCATTTTTTTCTCGCGAGGTGGCGGTGGTCGTCCCCGCTGTATGGCGAGAACCGGCGCCGACCTACCGTCGACTAGCGAGGTTTTCCCCAACCAGGTATCTCGCACCAACGGGGCAAGATCTAAACTCCTGGCCGATCTCTAGGCATTTGTGGTAGTGTAGTGCACGCTAGTGTAGGTGTGTGTAAGGGGTGAGGATAGGACAAAGAAGAAGTAGAAAAGATCGCGTGCGGTCCGTGGCCCGTTTGTTGGGGTACTCCTCCGGCATTCGCCTATTGTTGATCGGGGAAACCTCGGAAAACTACCGATCAGAGCAGCCGGCCGTTAGAATTATCCTCAGGACAGCGACTGAGTTTTACCTAGCTGAAAAGCTAATGTTGAAATTTCTGACACCGCTGTGCACCACGACGGTGCTTCGTCGGGACTCGAACCTAGGACCTTCCGGTCAGATGGACTGCAGTGGCATCAATTGATGCCCTGAGACTTTCCTCCCAGTTTTGTCGTAATTGATGTACAGATTATATCTATTAAATGTCATTTAACATTTAACTTTTAAGTGAAATTATTTTAGGTCGCCATTTCACTTTATATTGGGTAACTTCCATCACGGACATACATTATATCTCTTCTAAAATATCTTTCAAAATATGAGTTATGTATCTATTTATAAATTAAAATAACAATGGAATATAATTCTTACGAGGAAAATGTGAATCCTTTTTATAATGTTCACCATGCTGTCTTATGTAACTGTATGTGATACCAGGAGAATAGCGGATCCTAGATGGTTACAGAGGGATTACACAATGATGAGATAAAAAATGACAGTATTCATCAAGCATTATAAAATATGTGGAAATACGATGTTGAGATTATACATTTTAGAGACGCATTTGAAGACTTTCTCAAGTGATAACAGCAGTGACTGTTGGTGCTCCCTAAGTTACATCTCCATCGAAATACAGATATGTAATTTAAACAAATGCGTTATTTAATTCTGCTCTACTAGGTATTTCCACTTCTGGTAGCGGAAAACTGTTTTTACGTGGTTTTCATGAGCTTCAGGTTTCTTTGATTTTCTATATATGGTTTAAAGTGTTAAAACATAACGAAATTAAGAGATTCGCAATGCTTTAAATTCAAACGTCCAGGCAACTTTAAATACAATCTTTCCAGGTGTCTTTCCAGGTTTTCTTCAATAAGTCGTGAAAAGGAATTTAATTAAATTTTACACTGCATCCATTGTCTAATACCGGTGAAATACTCATAGTATTCACTTAAGTAAAGATTAAAAACGGACATAAAATCGTGTACAAAATCGGATAAACATCTTGCTTCGTTTAGAAAAAGGTCGGTTGGCCCCAATTCGCAAGCAGCAGAAGTGATGACGACAACCACAATAACAGGAAAAAAAAGTATCACGAAAAGTAATTGTGTGAATTTTCACACACAGTCGTATTCGTAACAATGCAAAATCATTCCGATGATCAATGATACACGTTGCGAGAACTACATGCGATCACAGCCGGAGATCCAAGAGAAAAATTCTTCCAAGCGGTCAACCCTTCCACACAAAATTTGTGTGTGTTCTTCATATGTGTTTTTTGAATCAATAAACATTTCATTTAAAATAAATTCACCAAACATCCTAACTTGCACATTCAAAACAGTCAAAAATTACCTCAACTTTTCAATAACACGCGAAGTTTATTATATTTAGAAAGGCATCTGTCCCCTCCGATTCTCAAACGCCGCTTCAGC